GCCGTTAGCAGACTGTATAAACGAGAAGCCAAGCATCTCCTTGATGCGTTTGGGAAAATAAAGACGGCTGCCCCTAAGTTGTGATCACACCTAGAAAAAGAAAAACATCAGCTGCGAGAACACACCCAAAAACATATTCCGGGCAAACCCAAAAAGCTTTTCCGTCCTCGCGGCTTCACCTTCAGTGTCCCACTGGCGGTTCCACTCGGGGTTCCCGACGCAGCTTGCGGGCTCAAGCTAGGAGTGGCCTGCTCGGGGTGAGGACCATGAAACGAAGGTGCTCACACGGGGCCTTAGGGGAATATACCGGATGATTTTGCATACCTTCGAAGAGCGCTTCACAGCCCCGTTCCTCCCAGGCAAAATGGCATTAATCTGCACCCAAGGGATTGTCCTTCAAAAGCGAGGATTGCACCCACACCAAACGCCTTGAAAAGACGCTCAGAACCTCCACGGTCAAGTGGCGTCCAAAACACCAGGCGGTCAACTCGGCCAACTCGGCCGCCTGGAGGGGCCCCGGCTGCGCCACCAGGTTTGGCCGGCAGACCTGCCGATGAACGTGGACGGTGGAGCTGGTGCGGGTCGCGTGGCCGGTGTGGCGGGTGCTAGGGGCCTGGAGGGGCAAGCTTGATGCGTGTGGCGTTCATGGAAGTCTCCAGGAGGGGTGATCTCTGCCAGCATGTGAAGCTAAATTAGCTAAATGGATGTTCCGAACTACCAGAGCCTCGAGAGTTCTTGCTTGGCAGATGGAACCGTTCCCCTAACCCTTGAGACACCCGGAAACCCGGTAGAAAGCCAAAACGCCATCGGATTCCATCGGCCCCTTTTGAGCTCCACGACAGCCCCCCCTTAGAGACCCCCGAACGGGCTCACCTCATAGGACCTCTGAGCATAACGGCCTGGCTGCGGATCAGTGGCGAATCAACCAAGTCACAGATCAGCCATCTTTTTGTGGTGGTCAGTTTCAGCTCCAACCTGGGATGAATCGCTTCCGGTGAGGGCCACCTTCCGCGGAACACACAACACTTCCAGAACCCGCGCAGCAGGCGCCTCGCCAGTTTCCGAAGCCTCGCAACATTCTGGTGACGATTCACCACTTGTGAGGACCTGGTTTTTGAGGAAGGGGAAACAACTGTTTAAAATCCGGGCTCTTTGTGACAAGTTATGTGACTGTTTACCCTTCCCACATCGCTGGGGTGTCAGAAATGAAGGACGATAAGGTTGCGCTGAACATGCATCACAATTTGGGCTCCAGGGTCCTCAAGGAGCTTCTATGGTAGCTGTTGGAAGGGCCCCTTCACCAGACATTGTCGTGCCCCTGCGGCCTCCAAATCTGCCAACAGCGTGGTTTGACCAACCATGGGCCCTCAAAGCAGTCTTGCTCCGTTCGCAGCGATGCCAGCAGCCCCAAGTAGCTTCTTGTTCCTAGATGCCAGGAGCTCTTCAATCCTCAGAGTGTCACGGTGTCATATGGTGTCATGTCTTCTCCCACGTTCATTCCAGAGTGGTCGGCTGCCTGGCGGTGGAGTCAAGGCATTGCGGGCATGCTCGTCCACCTGGGCTTGGGCAGTGACATGGGACCTCGTGGTCCCACTCGACTCCTTGAAACACCAAAAAGGAGTCCCACAACCCGAGTCATACACCAAAAGCTCTCTCTTTATGTTCTTCGATTCTTTCTTAACTCCTCTCCGATCTGAACCCGGAAAAAACCCGGAATCCACCACCTCTGTGAACCATCCATCGCCCCCTCTTCCGACCGACCGATTCCGCCGAAGCCTCGCTCCGGAAAGCCCGAGTCCCGAGTCCCATTCGCCTGCGGGGCTCGAAGCCTCAAACTTGCAGCGTCCGATGCCGTCCACCCATGGAGGTCGGTGGATGTTTGGAGGAGGGGGACACCCATGGAGCGGATCCCGAAGAACCAAGGAGTCTGTCAAGATTGGAGCACCAGTCGTGTGATTGGCACCCTTTTGTGATTGGCTGGTGTTTCACAGGTCCTGTGACACCGCGGAAGGGTGTGCTGTCTGTGTTGCATGCAGTTTGGGTGCATCGTAAGGTCTCTAGCTTCCTACATTGGCCATGAGCAGTGGCAAATCCTTTGTGATGACGAGTAGTTCGGAAAATACGTCCAAAATCGTGAAATCTCCACGGAACCCAAGAGTTTTGCAGGCTTCTGTGAAGAAAAACAGTGTTCAAACGAAGTCCGTGATGAGTCACTGTCACCAGATGTTTGATGCACGCGGATTTTACGACCCTTGGCTCGACCTGTTCCTCCACATCTCAGATCTCAGATGACAAAAGTATGCAAAGCTGTACAGGACGTGCCATCCATTCTGTTCAATGGCCCGTCCTGTAACGCTCTCTCAACGAAAAGGGAAAAGTGGCAATGAACGGGTCCAGTCATTCATCGGCCCCCTAAGAGACAACGGCCAGGTGATTGAACCGAAACATGGTGATTGAACCGCTGGGTCACACGGATTGCTTTCCTGCTGGTGTGCTTGTCATTGTGGCTTATCAAACAACCACTGTAAAGTCCTGCAAAAATTTGAAATGGTTTTGCCAGCGCACAGTCCGTGTGACATAGGCGTAACTGAGATGCAGCTTAGGCCGTTTCGGTCGCTGCTCCCAGAACACAGGACAGATACAGCTTCGGCCGCGACACAGTGACAGCACTCATACCTCGTGGTGCCACTGCTCGGTGCCTTGTACACCTCAAAAACAGCAAGGACTCCAAACCGTCGGAGCTCAAATAGTGGTCCTGATTCGGAGGATATCCTGTTGTCAAAAATCTCAGGGCGGTGTCAGATGTCAGCTCACAGAGCAAACACAACCTTCTCCGTACCGACAGAGCGAAGAAAGGACGCGTTGTTCAACTGGCCCACAATCACTCTGCGCACCTTGGACTTTTGGAGGGGACATGCACACAAAACACTGCAAAACAAATGTCTGTCCACCAACAACTTGTTTGGGGTATTGTTGTTGTTGGAAGAGCTTGAGCTTTCAGCGGGCAATTGAACCCTCTGGTGTTCTTCTTGTTCTGATGTTTGTTACCCAGTTCTATCCTTAAAGAGCCTCCGCCTCCGCCACACCGTGTGGAACATAAGCAGCTAGGGCACATAGGGATGTTTGCGGGCGTCTTCCTGCAGGGCTGCATGAAGATCCTCGGGACCTTTTGAAACCAGCAGCTCCAACACTTCATTCTTGATCCGTTGGCGCCTGGTCTTTTTAGGTCTCACACCATCAGGGTCGTGTTGATGAGGCAAATGGCAAAAACCGCACTGAGAGCCCTTGGCACAGCCACGAACCGATTGGTGGAAGACCTGAGCCGACGACGCGCCAGCTAGACACCATACGACGACACAAAATTGACCAAACAAGGAAGAAAAGAACTCCCGCCAAGAAACACAAGGATCGCACAAGCCCATCACATGAGCGAGGTGGAGTCTGTGTCCTCCCGGCCCTGAACCCTCACCACCAATTGAAGCCATCAGATCAGAAAGGCCGGCACCTCTGGCACTTCTGGCCCAAAACACCCCTCGCAAATGCTCCGTATCTACGGTCAGGCGTGTCCTCCCTGTTGAGCCCCAAATCTCATGTGCATCAGAGTTGGGCAGGTCCAGGCTAGTGGCCACAGGCTCAGGCCCACGTGACGGGATTCATTTCAGTGACTTCCTCGATTCTTCTCCACCAACAAGGGTCCTGACTTGGTGGAATGACGTTGGTCGCACGCGGGCAGGAAGCGCTCACGTTCATCCCAGCGCTGCGTCACACACAGAAGGGTTTGTTATAGTCCTTTGGACCGCACTATGCAAAGAAAGGATGTTTTTTCTGTTGTTACAAATGCTGACTGGTGCTTAGTAGGGAATGAGGGAATGGATCCAAAGGAATCTCTATTGGGGGCTCATTCCCTCATTCTCTACTAAGCACCAGTCAGAATGACTCCCCCGTGCTTCTTGGAGCATCGTCACTCCATCGAGCTCCCTCCGGGCAGCAAAAATCCGATCGGGGCGCCCCGCCAGCGTACAGGGGACGTCTCCTGGAATTGATGCCAGCCATCAAAGAAGCACGGAAACAAGGTTTCGGCAACTCTCATCTGGAACAAGCTTTCTGGAACTCCTCAAAAGTGCTCTCTCAACCTAGCACTTCAGCGAGGTGTCATTTTGGCACGGCCTCCCGACGGAGGAAACCAGGGCAGCCAGGAGAAGGTGAACGAGCTACCTGCCAGGTGCTCAATTGGAAGGTTCCAAACAAAGGGAAAAGATCCCAAATCAGACTTTCCAGCCAACTGAGTTATAAGCCGCAACATATCAACATCATGGGTGGAATGGGGTTTTCATCAGTCTTCAGGAAGCTTGAACAACTTCAGCACGGAGTTAGTTTGAACATGTTGGAACAAGTATATAAGTCGTACAGTTTTAAAACATGCCATAATTGAACAGGGGTCGCCTTTTCGCGCTTCTCCTCTGGTCTCTCGCAGGTCTCAGACTTGGGTGGGTGGGTCCCAATCAGCATTGCAAAACATCTAAAACAAGAACAACATCGACATGGGTGTGCATGGAGGCCATCCCTAGTAGGTTGGAGGCTATCGCTAGTACAAGTAGGTTGGTTGGAGGCCATCGCTGGAAGGTTCAACTATACCAAACTGCTTGGCTTTGGTCTACCTGCTCATCTTCTCGAAGGGGGTCGAGCTGGCAGGTTCTCCTGTTCTAATGCACACAACATTGGAAGGACCAACCCAACCGGCGTGCGTCTTGGACGGCCCTTCTATACAAACGGCCCGCCTGGAAAACTGACCAGTCAGATTGGTCGCGGAGACCCCAAGGCAAGCACTCAGTGACTGCCGACTCTGGAAAAACTTGGGCAACGGATCACCCAAGCTCTTGGGTGCTCAGCGCAGCCCCTACGAACGATCTATGCACTTCGGGGTGGGCACCTTGTCCTCCCTAGATTCTCCAGTTAGCTCCGCTTGGTCTCGGATTTCTTGGGGATTTGGGTTCTCTCAAGGCCTCGCAACAAGCAACAAGCCAAGCCCAGAGGAGGTTGGGGCGGCCACCCGGACGGACTTCATCCCGTCACGGGAGTGAACTTCAGGTGCTTCATCTCATCCCTGAGTCGGGGCGCCGAGACAAGGAAACCCTCCCCAGCTGAAGAAGGCAGGCCTGGGAGTTCCGCCTGCAGCGCCTGAAGAGTTCCGTCTCATGTGTTCCGCCTCTTTCTGGGTGCTGGAAAAGCCCCCGGGGGGGTTTTCCCGGAAACAGCAGCTCCCACCCGGGACGCCCAAAGCACCACCACCGCTGGGTTTGGCCGGGTGCCCTTGCCAACTGCGCTGCGGCTGGGTCGCTCGTCGAGCCCAACTCACACAACGAGCGTTCTGCCGCTGAGCAGCGTCTTAAGGACTGAAGCTTTGGCACTGTCATCCGGCATGTCATCGACCCACATCACAATCCTTAGGCGTTCGGTCATCAGAACGATCACCAGCTGCATTTTTGCAAACAAGTCGGAAACCGCGTCAGCAAGCTGTAGCAGCAAGTGAAGAATGACCAAGCGCCAAACAAGGTCCACGAACATCCGAAACCTGACCCCACCAAAAACGGGTTCCATTGAAGGACGAGCAGAGGAACCAACTGCCACTTTTGGAGGAACCAACTGCCGCCGAGACTCCAATCGCCCTGCCCGATGTATTTCATCACCTGCAGGCGATGATGACACTCAGGCTTTGGGACAAGGCCAGCAGTTGCAATTGTGGAGAATCACTGCAAAGCTGTGCCCCACTTCACTATACTTCCTTCTTTCTCAAACATACTTCAAACATACTCCGGAGCACTCCACATGCTTCGCTCACTCCACATGCCTCCACTCACCCCCATTCACCCGCCTGGGCGCAGTACCAGTCCTCTGTGCCTGGATACTTCCCCTCGACCAGGTCATCCTTGTCGAAGCTTCCGGCCTCGCCACTGGCAAACTCGCCCCACCTCAGCTGCTTTCCACGTCGAAGTAGCAGCAGCGTCGGAGAAGTAGCAGCGACGCCGCTGATGGGGTGATGGACGGCTCAAAACGACAGGCTGGGGGTTGTACATGAGATCATCGAACCAAGGTTCCGCCCACCTACTACTCGAGCTTGGTGACTTTGTATTGTGGTTTGCTCTATGGAACTGCACCATGATGAAGCCCTGCGTGGCATGATCAGTGGTCACTTCCAATCTTTGCCCACTTGGAACCACGCAGTTGCACCGTGTTGAAATTGAACCGTTTTGAAAACTGATGCAAACTGCCGGCGTTCCATAGTGCAACTGTTGATATGTCTGACAATGAAAAATCATATCCCAGCCATAAACCTTCTTCTTTTTATCTTTCAGCACGACGCTGACCCCACAAACGATTGAACAAAGGAATACCAGCATGACTCTCATGGCTACCCAGCCCAAAACCATCTATTTAAGAACCATCTATTTAAGAACCCTGTTTTTTGGTGCATCTCTTGTGGCCATCCCCCCCAAACCGGACCTTAGAGCCGCTTCCACATACCGCCCGCAGCCGCGTTCGCTGACACTCCCAGGAGCTGCTCCTCGGTGGAGCGGCCCCAAAAGGCACCACCCTTCGCCGTGCCGCGATCCTCCTGCAGAGGGGGGGGGCCCACCAAGCTTCGTGGTTTCAAGAAACGGCACAGGTCCAAACCGCCCCCCCGAAACGGTTGAAACGGCGCACGAATCTCGGTGTCCCAACTCCAAAAACCCAAACGGGTCTGAGATCTGCCAAGGTCTTTTTGGGGCTCAAAACTCCAAGAGCGACATGGTCCCGACTGCAGTGGTGAAGATCTAGGCTGTTTGCACTGTAGGGGCAAGAGTTCTGGAGCTGTAGCTCTCATCATGCTTAGATGGATCCAAGTGTTTGTGAGCAAATCTCGAACCCAAAGGTGGACAGCTTCTTCTCTTTTGGGGTGGGTGGGCCTCAACGGGCCGGATGGATCTATGGATCCAGCAGCGCAAAGCATCCCTTAGACGTGCGGCGAATGCCCGGCCGGAAAGCCTCATCAACAAACCTCAGTCGAAATTCCTCTAATGCCTTGAATCCAAGACAATGAGAACGTCTATGAAGGGCTTCGGAGGTGAACAGGGATTGAAGCTGCCTACCAAGGCCTTCTTCCTTGGGGCATGACTGATTGAAGGATCGTACAATGCACCTGCGGCACCTGCGCGAAAGAATGACTTCTGCAAGGGTCTGAGACTCTCTCGGGATCCCAGTCCGGATAGTACATGCGGGGCCCATTGCTTTCCTGAGCGACAGGGAATCTGGAGGGAGAAAGACAGCCATAGCATTTGGCGGTCCTCAAATAGAGAGGAAGACAAATTTTATCGACAATGATAACGCAACAGGCAACCTCCTGAAGATCCTCAAAGTGAGAAAGCTTGCAGCTCTGTCCATCACATCTAGCACCTCCCAAACCGCTTTGTCTGATTGGTCCTTCGTTCTGGTTTGCGCCCTGCCTGCGCTCTGCACGCAACTCGGACATTTCGTGGAGATGGCCATAATGGCCTGGCCGTTGGGTGCGCTCCACTTCTTCGGTGGGCACCAAGGCACACGCTCGCTTGGTCGAGTCCAGGATGGTACGGGAACTTCGGGGTGGCTAAGATCGGGGTCCAAGGTCCGAGAATTTTTGTTCAAGAGGCAGGAGGCGAAGATCACTAGGCCTCTGAGGATGCATCTCTTTTGAGGATTCTTCCCCCGATCTCTTCTTCAGATCGTCAGCCTTTTTCCGGCGCCAGACTCTACTCAAGGCTGCTAACAGTGGTGCTAGTGATCCCAGCCCAGCCCCGCTTCTTTCTGAAAAAAAAAAACATCCAAGCGGAAACGAATCTCAAACAAAAAAACAAAGCTGAGACTTCCCACGGCTCGTTCCAATCGAACCCCGAGAGTATCAAGAATTCGCAGCGATCTTCGAAGAACTCGGATGCCTCAGCAAAAAACTGCCAGATGTGGTGAAGCCTCCTGTCAAGCGCCGATGGGGTTTACCCCTATAAACTCTTATCCAAGAGTTTGAAGAGTTGTTGAGTTCAACAAAAAAGAGACTGAGATGAAGAAGAAGGAGGATAAACTCCTTTTCTGGGGGAGGGACTCAAAACCTTCCAAAGTCACTCCTGCTACACTCAGCAGGAGGAGAATCTGCCAGCACCCTGGCGAGCGCAGGAAGCTATGGGCACTGGAAATCCCTTGGCTCACCAAGTTTTCGCGAAAGACAGTTCCTGGTGCTATTTCTCAGCAGGTTGTTTTGCGAAATGAAAATGGGTCCTAGAGTCCTAGCTAGTTCTGGAAGCCTCTTTCAGGAGCCGCAGGCGTCACAACTCATGGGACGAAGCCGACCAACAAAGAAGCTACAGGTGTGTTTTCCCATCACCCTCGCCTCTGGGCACTCTCTCAGCGCGGAGGCTGGCGCGCGTCATTGCTGCGGCGTTTCTTCCGGGATGGAAGGATGTGGAGGCTCTCAATGCTGTGCTGTTTCGATTCAAGGTCTTCACAAAAAAGAAAAACCATCAGTGGGATGCATTCAAACTGGTTGAAGCTGCTGAGCAAGTAAAAGACTTGATCCAGCCGTCAAAGAGCTTTTCATCTCGTCTACTTGAAACTCCCTGCCCTGGTTGCTGTCTCGGGTGCAACTCCGAGAATTGGCGAAGCAAGTCCCTCAAATGCTGCTCAAATGCTGAAGATGGTTGTTGGGTTCAAGTGTTGTTGGCATGTCTCAAACGCATCTCCTCAGGAAAACATCCATGGAACTGCTGATTGGGTCGCTTCAGCCGAGCTTGCTATGCTGCTGTACTTTGAGCTGCAAGGCTGTCGAGATCAAGCCACGAATCATACATCATATACATATACCCTAGTTGCCTTGTCACAAGATGTTTCAGGTGGGGTTGGAGGCTCCAAATACCTTCTCAGGAAGTACTGGAAACGCTGGGATTACTGTATCGTTGTTTTGCTTAAGACTGTAGTGAACTGCTCAGTAGATGGAAGGGATTCATCCAAACCTGATCTGAAATGGTCCTTTGGCAGCTCTCCACCACTTGAACATACCGGACATGGACCGATGTCGCGCCACCGCGACATCGGGCGCCTCTGGCCGGCCCAGCACCGCCTCGGTCGGCCGATGGCCGGGTGAGATCTTTTGCAACAGTTTCTCACTTCCAGGGTGGGTTGGAAACAGTTTCACCTGTGGCTGGGTTCTTCATGTGATTGGCTTGCAGTTACGCGCCGCTCTGAGCAAGGAAAGGTACTCCTGAGCCCACAATCTTGGCTCCCCAGACCCTTTAATTGTTTTGAAGTGGTTTCAAGTTGATCAAATGTTGCTCTCACTGCTGTAGCAAACATGCTGGCACTGAGGATGCAATGTAAGGTCGGCCTTTCGTTGGCTCTGTTAAATCGAGGTTGAAGTGCGAGAGGAAGCAATTTAATGGTAAGAGTTATATATACATATGAATTGATAGCAAGCAAACGGACCAAACGCTTTACCCATTAGGCGACTGGCCGTGTGCATGAGCAATAGAAACAACAGCAGGAAGGCGCAAAAGAATCCCCCCAATCCTACTACATCTCCAAATGGTTGTTGTGTAATCTCAATATGAATAGGGAAACCCCCTACACACCCCAATCCTTCCAAACAAAAAAAATCAAAAAGTCGAACCGGAGAAACCCAACCACCCTATCTTCTCACATCTCTGACACCGAAGCGTCCCCACCGCCACGGGAGGCGGGCGGAAGCTGGCGGCCGCCTCGATCCACATACGACAGGAAGGGCATACGTCATGAGGTCGTGGTCTGGAACTGTTGAACGGACGATGATGATGATGATGATGATGATGATGATGATCATGATGATGATGATGATTGGAAAGTAAAAGAACTTGATGATGATTGGAGGTTTGTTGCACTGTCTAACCAACCAAAACAAATTGGTCATGTCTCCAAAGCACCCAAAAAAATATGACCACTCCAAACAAACACGAGGCTGGACCCTGAACCACACATCCTTGCGTCTTGATGTGGTGGGGGGTTCATCGATTCAGATCTGGAAGGTTTCGGCCCTTTCGTGCCTGCAAGCTGGGTCCTGTCTGAGCGCTGGTGGGGCGTGCCGAAGGCGGGGCCCAGTGTCGAGCCTCGGGCACGGTGACCCGGAGGATTTTTAGGAAAGAATGTCGTGTCGGTGAATGTTCTTGGGGTTTTGTAAGCCAAGTGAAATAGATCAGAATGTCCTATGCATTTTCTCACATGTTCTTTTTGTGCCTCCTGCAAAGCTAGGAATATCTCTCATCACGCGTTCACGATGGTTTGTGGGCAGAAAACACATTTGAAAAAGAGCCCAGAAAGCACACCCAACTGGGAGGTGATTGATGCCACATTCAGCACCCTTCGCTCGGGCATGGACAATTGGCGGGGTGTGGCTGCGCGCCTGAGTCTTCTAAGGCTCGACTCAGAGACTCAAAATGACTCGAAACCAAACGAACTTGGCATCTGGCCATCCAAACACGGCCCGCCGCAAGGCGGCAAGGCGGCCCAGAAACTGCAAACAATGAAGCACTGCAATTTCACTGCTTTGAATGCATTGAACTCATGGTTGCCACATCTTTGAATGATGTTCAAACGGTCATGTGGCGGCGGCTTCTATGGCCAGCATTCTGCAAACATACCGAACACACATGCTGATATTTCAGGTCAGTGTTGGTGCAAATGTGCCATCCCTGCACTATTATAGATTGTTAATTGAGCCTGCATGCGGCTGCATCCGTCAATAATACATTAACCGGATTGCCCAGAGCTCTAACTTGTTGACCGTTGGAACCAACAACAAGCTGTGGATGTCAAACGTTGCATTCAAAACTTGATCCCGGGTCACCTTCATATGTTTCATCACGCAATCAAATCTTAGGGGTTGTCAAAATGCCATAGAACACCACCACTGGCTGATTTGGTTTTCCACCATTCACTCAAAAAAAGTCCCTCAGGCAACCAGTTTTTGTTTACGCCGTCCTTTGTTGACAACCACCGATTGCACAAGCCATGACAACTCCAAACAAAAATAATGACTCCCCATGCTTCCAAAAATTCAAGTTTCCTCATCACACGCATCGTTCACGCAACATGGAACGTGAAAAACTGTCAGCGCCACAGCCGCACCAAGATTAACAAAGATGAACTGCCTTTTGCCTTGAATCTTGTGCTCCTCATGTTGTTTGTCAGAAAAAACTCGAATCAACTGAACGCTGCACATGCAGCAACGGTCTTTCCAGCGGCCAAGCAATGAGCAGCAAAGGCTTCTGCGCGCACAGCTGCAAGTCCTTTTTACAATGGCCTTTTTTTGGCACTGGTGTGGACAACATCAACAGGTCTCGTGAAACATTCGCACAAGAAACTCACGAACAAGAAAACCTTCCTCGCAAGTTCTCAACGTGAAAAACTGTCTCTGCAAGTCAAGCGCGCACCACGACTGAACGGGCAAAAATGAAACAAGTGAAAGACGCCACTGCAACAAGGTTGCACAACTCCCAAGCACTTAAAATTGCAAGCAAAAAATGAATTTGAGACCTTGCCACTTCTGTGCATGAACTGGCTTCACAAAACCCAGATTCAAAGGGAAAGTTCAAGGTGTCTGACCCCCCTGGAAGTAGGTCACAATAAATGGCACTTCCAGAGTGACGTCTATAGATGCCCAAAAAGCCGTGCTGGTCCCCTGATGTCTCTGGGGCCATTCCAGACGTTAGTATGCTCCAGTGACAGACTTCCAGGCGAGCACCTCAGTCCTCCTGCCAGCTGTGCACAAAGTGCACAGACAGCCCCTCATGTCCCAGAAGAATTGCACAAGCTGACCTGTGCACCTTCTGCATGAATGGCGGCTACCCGTGCCAAAAAAACCGATTGACACGTTGACTTTCCAATCGATGATTGTCCACTTCCAGAGGTCTTGTGCATCCTGATGGTGCAGGACCTGTCCATGTGAGTGATGTGCCTTCTACTGAGAAGGCACTGTGTCCCAAAGGTGCCCCCCAATGTGGTTTCTGAAGTTCAAGAAGTACACTCCAGGTTTTTTTTGCACGAGTGGAGACGCCATGTGTGCATGGTGCACAGGTCATCTTGTAGTAAGGTATGAATCTCCAAAATTTCATAGAGGAGCAAAACAAAAACAACCGAACCAACAAACACCGCACCAAAACAACAACAAACCCACAAACCAAAACAAATTAAAAGCGAGACCATCGGAGGTTCATTCTGTACATCTGAAGTGAAACATGGTGAAAAAGGACTATGACCACTTTCTACTAGGGCTGTGAATTCGCTTGTGAGCTGCACTCGATGTCAACAGGCCCGTGCACGAGCACTTGCGAGCGAAAGTGCTTGGGTGCTGGATCTCTGCTCACAAGCGGTGAGCAAGGTCTTAGTTATTCCAAGGGAGTCCGCAAGTCGAGAGCTCAGTTGACGAAAGACAATGATGATCTGGCCGTGTTCTTTTTTTGCACAGGTGGAGACCCGATGGGTGCAGAGGTTGCACAGGTCATCTTGTGCTAGTGAAGAGAGAGTTACTAGCCAGGTTGCAGGGACAAAGGAAAAAACAACAAAACCCAAAACCAAACAACAAAACAACCCCACCCCAGACCAACACCAGCAACCTGGCATGTAGATCGAGCGGTCATGTAGACCAAAGAGTAAGAGGTGAAACAGGGGCTACGAATTAAACACCGGCTCTCAGTTCTGCTGGACCGCGAGGTTTTGCCTTTCTCCATTCCTCATTTTTGGTCTCTCTTCATTCCAAGTTCTTCCTTCAATGCAGCAAAGCGTCCTGAGATCAGAACGCTGTGCAAACTATTGCACTTGGAGAGCATCGAAAGCAACGCTTACACGATTGTGCAGTCAAACGTGCAAGCCTATTTCATGCAATGCGAAGTAGAAGCTTTTCTCTGCAACATTGAACAGGCACCTGGGAAAACCACCGCGAATGTTCCCGATAGCTCCAAGCTTTCGGTAACCGGATTCGACAGCGCAGCCAGTGATTGATAGGAGTTTCTTGGGAAGGCGATCGCATGCTG